ACCTCGGTTGAAGATATTGTTTCACGTAGGAAATGAAATGTTGGTTGTCCGCTATTGCTAGTGGCAACTCATTTGCAGCAACGAACTTCACCATTCATGTTCGAGCTTTCTCCTCCGAATACATCTATGTAAAAAGTGGCGTAGTAGTAGCATCAGTTCCTGGACTATCAAATTGTAGTTGCGTTTGACCAGCAGGAAGAAGTCCGCGTTTGGCCACACATGTTTTGTAGTGACGTTTAAGGTATGTGGTTCCAATGATTTGCCATGACAATCATTGTTGACAATATTTACATACTGTTTTGGTTTCTGGAACTCTATTGACCATACAACTAGTTTGAACCAATTTAAAATGGTCCCAACATTTTGTCTGCATTTTCCTCTTTCTCTTCCCTCTTACGTCGGGAATATCTAATACAAGTTCATCATCATGTTCCAAATCAATTGGATGACTAGCATCAACATCAACGTCATCTAAATCAATTTGATGACTAGCATGAGTATCGAAATCCTGAATATTTTCTAGAATGAGTAATTCATTTTGATCAACGAATTTATTCCCAAATTGATTGTGGGGCATGACAGGTGATTCTTCTCCGACACCGAACAAGTTTTCAACAAATGAGCGTAAATCCATTTGTGATTGGAAATTTGTAATTGAATAATTGATATTGAATAATTGAAATTGAATGTTGAAGTAGAATTTAGAAGTGAATGTAGATAATGTAGTAGTGTAGAAAATCGATTAAAAATAAAATGTAGAAGAGTACAAAATAATATTAAAATGTAGAGAGTAGAGTAGAGAACGAGAGATTGATAGAAAGTTTGGTGAAAAAAATAGATGAATAGATGGATATTTATAGGGAAAAATGAAATTGAAAAAAAAAATTAATAAATTCAGTGACCAAACGGTCACTGAAAAATTCAGTCACCGTTTGGTCACTTTTTATTTTATTTTTTATTTTTTTGCGACCCACGATCCGAGTTCTACTCGTGCTCGAGCTCGTCTTTTTAATGAGTCCGAGCGGCTAGTGGCTCATTTTGACGGGCCAAGCGGCAGGGCCGACGTGCCGCTAAGTTCGGTTGCCACACCTACCTTTATGGAATCACAATGCATTTTTGAATCAAATCAATTGGGCCCACGTTGCAGCCTGTCATTGCGTGCGTGTTGTATGTATATCAGCCGTTTTTCAATTCTACCCCTCCCCCATTTGATTAAAATTTCCCCGAAAAGTATTCTCCAACTGAGGCATAGCTTATTTGACTTTCCAAACACCTTTTTAGCATTAACTTTGCATTACTTTTCAATTATTTTTTTGCCCATTCAATTTTGTACGTTTCAAACACTTATTCCTTTTTAGCATCACCTTTGTATTGCTTTTCAATTATTTTTTTGCTCATTCAATTTTGTACGTTTCAAACACTTGTTTTTTGTCCTTTTGTGCTATTAATTAAGTGAAGACGACGGATTTTCTTTCTTTCTTTTTTTAACGACACGGAAATTTCTCCAAATTTTTTTTTTTTTTGGAAACAAAAAAATTCTCAACATAGAATTTATTTTTACATTTCAACGTTTGACGTAATAAATGAAATGAAACAAAACGAAAAAACTACTACTAACTCAAGAAAATATAAGCGATTACAACGTAGACATGATAATTTAACACCTACCAAATTTTCATTGTTGTTACGCCATATAATCGCGAAACCGGTCCCATTTACTGCACAACATTTCAGTTGCATTCATTTTGACTGCGAGTTCATCGTTCTCGTTCTGTGGCTCCACATCTGAAGCGCTTTGGTCAATCTCGACCCTCGTAAATGCCTCGTCAATGACTCCAACTCGTCGAAGGAAGTTGTGTATACCTATTGTTGCTACGATATCTGGAATGTGTTCGAAACGAATAGTTTGACATTCGATCAAGTATTTTTCATTTTTATTTCCATACACTGAATACACGTTCAATTACATTTTTGCATGATGAGTGCTTGAAATTTAACCTCTCACGAGCGTTTCAAAATCTGCATGCATGACCTGTTGCTTTGTCCCAGAATTTTTGAAAATGATACAGTATATATGACCCCTTATACGGTTCCATATATCCAGGTCGATGTGCGAAACCAGAGTCGACTAGATAATACTTTCCTAGAATAGGTAATGAAAAATGAATGTCTAGACTGTGAATCGCACAAGCTAAAATTGGAGTGTCATGTGTATTTTCAGTGGTGCTGGCTAGCACGAATGTTAAATATAAATTAAAATCAAAGTTGCAGGTGCATTCTGCGTTGCTATTCTTTTGAGCCTTATAAAGTTGACTCGTTCATGGCGAGGCAACACAGTTTTAACGTGCGTTCTTTCAATCACACTTATGCAATTATGGAATAGTGTACCTTCGTTATATGCGGCGACCTAGTGGAACCCGAGAAGACAAAGTACAAGGCTGGATGGTGAAACACCAACTAGGTAAAGGCATGGTAGAGGGGATGCTAGTGGACATGTAACCAAATTTGCACTGGATTTTTGTATACATGGAGCATTCAAGGAGTTGTTCTAATGATTAGGATGAAAAATGATCTTCTTATTGCATTATTCTTTCTTAAATTGCCACAATTTCTATTCTTTCCTGATTAAAAATGGACCATGCTATGTGTACACAATGGTGTACACGCGACCTTACACTCCCCTCACATGGAGGGGGGCCAGACACAATAAAATATTTGAGAGCCCGCCTCCATGTGAGGGGGGTGTAAGGCTGTGTGTACACCTCGTGGAATACACATAGCATTATTCATTAAAAATAGCGAGTAAATGAGATGCTAACTAAATTTACCCTATTTACTCACTGAACAAGCACAAGTTACCCACTACTTACTCATTTATTCAAATGTTTACTTATTCATCACTCCTTTCAGATCCATTATCCATAATTGACGTAAAACTCAACGTGTATATACAGAAAGTTGATGTTGCACATTTACATCGTTAATTTGCCCACTTGTATTAAAAATAAAATAAAATAAAATACCCCATATTAAAAACCAAAAATCGCCCAAATCAAAACCTTCAATTGTGTGAAGATTAACCTAACCGATATCCAAATCATTCACAAGTTCAGGCTTCAAAATTTACATCTCTAGAACCTAAGATCCATAGGTACAGTGCCCCACTCTCATTCTTTAATAGATTAATGGAGAATGTGTGATTGAAAAAGAAGAAATAGTTATCTATGTGATGAAAAATATTAGGCCCTGTTTGATACGCCAAATTTTCTAAAGAACTAGGAAAATATTTTCCACTTTCTACTTTTTTGGCTGTTTGATAGGCGAAATTTTCCATGAAAAATATCTTCCTTCTTTCCTCCACACGTGTGCATTTTCCAGCTTTTTGGTGGGAAAATTTTTCTAGGCTGGCCGGAAAAAAATCTTTTTTTTTTCGGGCAATGGAAACAAATGTTATAAACAACGGTAAAATTTTTTTTCACTTTAATGGATAATTTCCATATAAAATTAAGTCAAACGAACATTAAATTTTGATGAAAAAATGATTTTTTAGGAAACAATTTTTTTTTTTTTTT